TGGCACGGCGTGACGAAACAGCCTCCTGCCGTCCCTCTGCCCGGGCCAAACGTCACTCCTGAACCGAATGAAAAAATCAATCAAGGGTCTGGCAGGCAATTGTTCCAGGCACAAACAAAGCCACAAGACACCCTTCAAATCAGGAAAACCCTGGCGCGGCGTGACGAAACAGCCTCCTGCCGTGCCTCTGCCCGGGCCAAACGTCACTCCTGAACCGAATGAAAAAATCAAGGGTCTGGCAGGCAATTGTTCCAGGCACACAAGCCAAGCCACAAGACACCCTTCGAATCAGGAAAACACCCTGGCACGGCGTGACGAAACAGCCTCCTGCCGTCCCTCTACCGCCAAACGCCACTCCTGAACGGAATAAAAAATCAAGGTTCTGGCAGGAATTCCACTGTTGGGGCACAGAGCTCCATTGTTCCAGGCACAGAAATCTGTGCACCGAGGACCAAAGACACTTCGAGCTGGGATCTCGGCAGGCAATTCCACTGTTGCAGGGGCACAGAAACCTGTGCACCGAGCACCAAAAACACTTCGGGGTGGGATTTCTAGATAAAGAAGCAGTAGCACACCTTATGGCCACAATTGATACAACAGAACATACCATTTCGGGGCGCGCTCCCCCTTGCTGCACCACGGGGTCGGCGGATATCATATAATGCATACATACTGTGAAACCATTACTGTACATGTGGAATCATGTAACCACGTGATCCATAGTGCTCATTGAAAAGCAGTAGACGGGTGCCAGTCACTCTACAATAATCTTGGTCGACCTTCCTGATGAGGCATTGGATTCTTTGGGGAAGGCCCGTGATGTAAACGACACCAAGATCCAGGACTCACATCATGTCATCATGCCAGCAGAGAATCATTCAACATTGAACACAATGGCATTTCCGGAGTCGGAGTCCCTCGTTTCAGATGTGTGAAGAACAACAAGCAAATAAATGTTTTCATATCTCGCCAGAACGGTCAGGAACTTGCCCTCCTCGAGACCATGTATGGTTTTGCAATCGTTCTGGTCACTTTTGCCCATGCATTGATGGAAGTGTATGAATCATCGCAGCTTGCTTGCACTTGCATATGTATTCTTGTTGTGATTTGGAGGTTTGTCTTATATGCATTGATTTGCATTCTTTCAAGTGCTACATGCCACCACGTCGACGTTTCCATGTTGATTGTTATGATCCTGGTTGCTGCACTCGTTTCCTGAATATGTTTTTACGGTCCTGTGACCCAAGAGTTTGCCTTTATATAATGGTTTGAGATTAATTTGCTCCTGAGGAGTGGTTTGTGCTAGTTAGTTCTCACTTTGTTTTCTATCGCCGTTTGATGTGTAGTTGGCATTGTCCAGGTCATGCTTAAGTTTTTAATGCTGATCAACATCCAACTCATGTGTATTTATCTATATAATAATAAGCCTGCACCTGCGCAGTTGAACCATCACGCATGATTTATACGGGGCTTCTTGCATCTACTGTAGCTGTAGATCATTTAGCGGCCCACTGTCAACTGCAATGTTTGTGACCGTCGGACTGGTTGGCAAGGGATGTGGAGGTGAGGGCAAAGGATGGCAAAGGCCATCAAGCGCTTAAACGAATACGACTTAGACTGGGAGCAAAGGAGGTGAAGTTTGCATCCCGAAATGGTCTATCCACTCCACAAGCGGCGCTACCTTTGGCAGTTGGGTTTGCTCCTGCCTTCTGAAGCCTCAGTGGGGGTTGCATTTGTTCATTGTGTCGACTGAGGGCAGGGGAGCTTCCGGATTATGCATCGCCATTCCGGCCTGAGCAAGACACGTGGCAATTGGGCCATTTGATGGCAGTCAACATGAAGCCAGCCACTTTGCCTAGAATCGCTAGAATCATCTTCCCAGCAAATCGGCTTGCAGTTTGCACTCTTGAACCTACAGATGACCACAGGTGGCGCTCTTCCTGCTTTGCTATGGCTATCTGGAGTCCCAGCACCGAAACTTTGTGTTCGGAGGCTTTGAGCGTGAAACCCTTCTTTTTCTGGTTCTCATGTTCCAAGAGCTTTTCCTATCTTTGTTCATCATTTTTTGGGAAGTGCTCACGGCCCGAACAGCGCCCTCTGGCTACACTGGTGTGACAAAGCGGGAGTTTTCAGCAGCACTGAGCTATGATTTTTTGGCTTTGCACGCGCCGATGTACTCCAACTTGAGACTCTCGATGGCATTTGTGCGCCGCAGAGGGCAGAGAGCAGGAAAGAACGAGTGAGTTAGTGAGGGTTTTTTTTGCAGTCTTCCTCCTTTTCATTTGGTCTTGAAACAGCGCCCGTTACAGTTTTAACTGACACGGCTCACAATCTCTTCCGGCCTTCTCAGCCACAAGCGAGCAAAACCCCCCGCCGGGGCCACTTCATAAACGCCGTAATTGCAGTATTTTTTGGAATAACTATAGTACCATTAGATTCGCTACAATGAGAACGTATGAGAACACAATTTTCACATCCCTGCCGAATAAACCCTAGGTCTAATTGCGTGTAAAGGTCTGCTTGCAGTAACACTGGACTTCCCAAACTGATATAGCTCTTGCGAGCATGGATCTAAGTGTGTGCCGGCACATTCGGCTCTCACCCCGTAGGCACAGCCAGGCCACGGTGCAAATAGGGTTGCTTTTGTTTGGTTTGCTTTTGGGAGTGTAGCAAGCAAATGCCAAGCTAAGTTCTTGTTTGCATTTACTGTTTGACTGTCACCCTTTTGATGCAATGTTGAATTGTTGTATTGAATTGAATCTTTTTCTTTCGCCTTTGTTTTGGTTGAAGATTTCACCTTTTTGCAAGGATGACCCGATAGAGGTTGATAGCGTCTTTAACCTTTGGAGTCTTGATGGGTGTGCCCTAAAATTATTCAGCCGAGGTTGGTTTATCCTATTTATTTTCGTTGGTCGAATCTTGCTGGTTTTGAGCCACAAGATTGGAGTGCCGGGATGGGTGCAACTAGCAGCCTTCACTGTGGCTTCAGTAGTGCTTCCATTTCGGGGAGATCAAGAAAAGCGCCTGAGCCCGGGTGCAATGTCTACAGAATATACACTCATGCTGGTTGGCGCCTACGTAGCCCCTGCAACTTGTTTCTATTTTTCGCTTTCTAGTTGTTTTGGGTCGAAACACGCCGAAACGCTCAATGAACCATGATTCAATTACTGTAAGCTTTGTTCCCTCTGCCCAAGTTCTGACAACTACCACTGTAGCCATGAATGCGAGGCCGCTGTAAAGGCTTTCTCTATGCACTGGAGCTCTACATCCTCATTTGGGCGCATTCTTATGCGATGCCTATCACTAGCATACATCATCGCAAGTGTCAGGCCGCCGATCGCATGCAGCTGCGCAGCTGGAATTCGACAGACATCTCAGCACTCATGAGACATCAGACATGCGTGAAATGTCATGAGAACCTAGACTGTGCAACAACTTAGTGTATAAATAGATAGATTACTCTATATAAATATATTATGTTTTTTATTTATTTATATTTATATTCGATAGTTTTGGGGCCTTGGCCGAGGTTTCAGCGATGCATCCCGGAGCCCGTGTCGTGAGACACGTTGGGGGATGGTATTTTGCATGCCTTTGGCTGTGCTGCAGCAAGCTTTATGGGTTGGTGCCGTGGCCGTCCTGTTTGCACCTAAGGCCAGGGAATGAGAAAACAACCTCCTGGCAGTTTGGCAGGCCTAGCACCACAAAATGTTCAAGCTTCAACTAGCCAAAGCACTAAGCATACTAAGCCTTCTTTCTAGGCCAAAGATTCCCAACAAGCCATGACCAATTCCCACTCAATGTCAGCACTACGTTTATATAGTTAAGATAGGCAAGAATGTGTGCACCTTCTTTGACTAATTGTTCAGGTCAGAATGACAACTTGAATGCATTCAGTGAAAATTTGTGCAGACATGAGGATTCGAAGTTGACAACGAATTGGCGGCAATAAGAAAATCTATAAGATCTATAAGAGATCCAAGAGAACGAATCGGTTTAGAATCTGAAGGATCTCAACACGAGTTCAGGTTCGATTCTTGGAGATTCTGGGTGGCTACACCTTGGGTGCCTACCTTTTCAATCGTGCGACCTTTGTGTTTTTGCGAGATTATGGACCGGTGGTGGGCTTTTGGCTGTGACATTTCTGAGCTTTACAGTCGGGCTTCATCAATGTTCTTTTTCTGTACCAATGGTCAGTGTCCACGAAAAGACACGACCAGAGTCTTGATTAATGATGTTGTTGTGTATGCCCCGAAAGGAATTGAGATCTATGGAATCAACATTGTGCCGAGCTTGGCGACCTTTGGCAGAGCTTTTACCAACCCAGGCCAGTCAAAAGCACCTTTTGCTGAGTAAGAACCGTTCTCATTTTCAGATGCTAGTTCGGCATGCGTGTCCTGTGCAGGGCAAATTGGTTTGACCATCGGCTACCTGGTGCTTTTTCTGGGCGCTTGTTACGTGACCAACTTAGTCACTGGCATCATTTGTCACAGCTTTGCAGGCAATCTTATGAGGAATTCGGTTGCGGCGTCCAAGTTGTTCAAAGCTGTGCAGCTCAAAAAATGATTCGCAAGCCAGCGCAAGAGAAGCTTGTGCAATTCACGCCTGGTGCAGCGTAGAAATGGCAGAAAGAGGTGTTGAAACCCAGGTTTCAGCAGAAGTTTGGGGCACCACTGCAAGGGAATTGCTTTTGTGATCTTTTGTGTGCATTGGGGTCCGGAGGGGGTTGAAGCTTTGTGGCTCTTTGTGGCTCGGGCTCCATTTAAATTTTCCAGTGCTCCAGCCTTGTTCCTTGTGAGTGTGTAATGTCTCATGGTTACAATGTGGCGTGCCACAAGGGGAGGGCTATCAAGAAAAACTTGGCTTGTCACCAAGAAAAAATTTATATAAATCATCGAAAACAAATTTAGACAATCAAAAAATAATTAAGCGATGCAGAGGAAGGAAGGAAGGAAGGACGGAAGGAGGGAGGGAGGGAGGGAAGAAGGAAGGACGGACGGACGGAAGAAGGGAAGGAGCGCAGGAGGGAAGGAGCGAAGGAGGTAAGGAGCGCAGGAGCGAAGGAGGGAAGGAAGGAGGGAGGTGTCAAGATACAACCTTCTGTACAATTGTATGTTTACTCCACCTTGGATCAAAGGCCTTGGGCCTAGCCTAGCTTGAGCCTAAGGACAGTTGCCAGAGGAAAACAATACACAGACGTGCGCAAACAAACGACAACAAACAGCTGCTGAATTTTACATGGTAGCGGAGCAAGGACCCTGGTAACAACAATCCAGGTGAGCTCCAATACAACAACAGGAACAGACACACAAACACAGACAACAGAGGACAAGCCTTGACCCTACAACAGGTAGCTTGTACAGCTGCAACAATGGCAGCACAACCAGCAGCAGCTCGCCTGCCTCCAGTTCCAGAAGATGAGACAACTACAAACATGGCAAACATGAACAGATACAAGCTCGAACCACCTTTCTTCAATGGAGACTATGGCACGTTCGAGGAAGGGAAGTACAAGTTTACAGCATACATGGGATTGCAAGACAACGACTATACAGATTTGCTACAAGCAGCGGAACAGGCCACAGCAGAACTCACAGAGATACAGTTACGAGCAGCGGCATCAACAATCGAAGATGGTGAACGACATGTTCGCCTCAGCACTGATTTGAGGTACATCCTCATCAACACAACAACAGGAGCAGCAGCTACAGTCTGCAGACAATACCAACACACAATTGGCTTCGAGATGTACCGACAATTGTGCATCCGCTTCTCCATCCCATTGGGGACAAGATCCATAGGACACTTGACAAGATTGTTGAAACCAACATTTGACAAGAACAACTTCGAAGAATCATTTTCCACGTGGGAATTTGAGCTACAACGATTTGAGCGAGACAATGGACAAACACTCCCAGACTCCGTGAAGATTGCCGTATTGCTCAACGAGACAAGTGGACCACTACAACAACACCTACAACTGCTTTCAGGACAAAGCCCAAACTATGCACGAGTCAAACCAACAATCATCGAGTACTACAGGTCGACAACAGCATTCAGCAAACTACAACAACTACGATCACCATCATCCAGTGTGGCGACAAGCTTTGGTGGAGGACAAGCACCTATGGACATTGATGCAATCCACAAAGGAAAAGGAAAGTACAATAGTTACAAACGAAAAGGCAAAGGAAAAGGAAAGAACAAAGGCAAAGGCTACGGAGGATACAACGGCTACGGATACAGCAGTTACAACATCAACCACAAAGGGAAAGGAAAGTATGGAGGAAAAGGATTCAATAGCTATCACAGCAGTCCGACCGGCTTCGGCAATCCATTTGGAAGAGGCGACAAAGGAAACAAAGGATTCAGCAAAGGATACAACAAAGGAAAAGGAAAGAGCAAAGGAAAACAAGCAACAGATACATGTTACAGATGTGGAAGAACAGGACACTATGCCAAAGACTGCCGAGTGGCAATACACAACATTGGACAAGGAGAAAGCAATGACATTGAGGACACGACAACACAATGGTACGACGACTACTATGACAATGGATGGCACTTTCAGGACTACACACGACAACAACAAGGACAACAGCCATTGGCACTTCCGCCAATTCCATCCCACCAGCAACCACGATATGACACCAATCCATGTCATTGCCATGATCAGCAATGGCAATGACCACAAACCAGCTCCAACAAACGGCGGCACAACAGACACTATGCACATCATGATCGACAGTGGAGCAGCCACACATGTCTGCCCACTATGGTTTGCAGACAACTATCCAGTGTACAAGATTGACCAAGCACAAAGCCCAAACCTCAGGACAGTGACGAACAAGACAATACAATGCTATGGAGTAAGATGGGTCTACATGCAATGAAGAGGACAACCAATTGTCATACCCTTCTACGTGTGTGACATCCAGGACCCAATCCTGTCGGTGACAAGACTGGCAGAACAAGGCTTTGACATCAGGTTCAACGACACTCCCACAATGCGCCATGACAAGGGATTCAATGTTCCCTTGGTGCAGCAGCACAACCTCTCAGCAACAATCATGAACCTGGGACAACATCAGCAACTACAGCTGAGACATACACAAAAGGGCATGATTGCAATGTTTGCCCCAACAACACTGACAAGACATGGACCACAACAAGTCCTTGGAGGCAACAGTGACCATTGGAACTACAACAATGAAGGATACCTTGTACGGTATCACCGGAACAAGAGGAAAGCTCTCTTTGTTCCTGGCGACAATTGCCCAGTACCACTGGAGACATTGAGCAACTACAGACGAACAATCATTCGACGAACAGACGGGAACAACGAAGACATTGTTGAACAATACCATGACTTGAGCAAGCACGAACAACGACGAGTGATACAAGGAGACACGTGGACAGGAGAAACATGGTTCAGAGTGAACAAGCCGCCAGCACAACCGGCAACTACAACAGCGAAGACAACCGAGCAGACAGAGAAGGCACCGCAAGCACTACAAGCGCGACACCAATCTACAACACTGCAACTCCCGGAACAGGACGGAACAACACAACAGGCAAGCAGAGATCCACTATACAGACACACAACGAAGAAGCCAGCACCAACAACCACGGCAGTACCTGATCCATCCACAATGACACCAAACACAGACTGTTGGATCAGAGAAGGACACTATTGGAAACGAGTTCACGTACAGGTACGGACGACAATGTACATACCACAACAAACAGACGATGGTCCAAACATTGGACGACTCACACCTACACGGACAACATTCGTGAACAGAACGGAACAAGGAAGAGGATACACAATCCATGACAATTGGCACGAATCAGGAGCCAGACAGATTGACAGACAATGGACAGGATCAACAAACTTCGAGGAAGAGGCACAGTACAAGTACGAGTACGACACGGACAATGAAGAAGAATCTCTACAAGCACAACGCGCCAAAGGGATGAAGGCGCCACAACAGCCAACAAGACAAGAAAGACTAGAACATGAGCTGACACATTTACCATACCGCTCATGGTGCCCAATATGTGTCAAAAGCAAAGGAAGAACAGACAGTCATCCAAAACAAGCGAGCAAACAACCAGTGATACAAGTGGACTTCACCTACATGAAAGCACTTGGAGACCAACAAGTACTACCAGTACTGACAGCAATAGATGTCGAATCAGCTATGGCAATGGCAGTTCTTGTACAAGACAAGAACCAACAACAACAATACCTGATACGATGTCTACAAACATTCATGTTTGAGTGTGGACGAGCGCTAGCAACACTATCTACCACAACACTACAATCAGATCAAGAAGAATACATACAGAACCTACTGAAGGCCGTCGCACAAAAGCTCAGAAACAACGTCAACATCCGACAATCACCGGCATACTCGTCACAATCACAAGGAACCATTGAACGATTCCATCGCACCCTGATGATGGGACAAGTCCGAGCACTGGTACAACAAGTGACCACAAGCTACAACCTTACATTGAGCGTACAACATCCGATCATGCCGTGGATCGTGCGGCATGCAACATGGCTACTGAACAGGTATGCCACGCACAATGACGGACAAACAAGTTACCAAAGACGATGGCAGAAGGACCACAAAGCACCACTATGCGAGATGGCAGAAACAGTACAATACATGATACCAACCACAAAAGCGCAACCCAAGATGGAGCCAAGATTCTTCAAAGGAATCTGGCTTGGCAGAGACGCAATGACTGGAGAGTCAATAGTTGGCATCCCTGGCAAGGTCATCAGAGCAAGAACAATACGAAGACAGATTATGCCAGACAAGTACGACAAGCAACTATTGGATACTATCAACGTGTATCCATGGAACTTGCCAACAACACCAATGGCAATTCCACCACAATTACTTCTACCAGCTGACAACACCGCAAGCAGACAAGCATTTGGCACACAAGCTGATATTACGGTGGAAGATACAAGCGCACAGACAGTACAAGAGACACCACTGGCACTACCAGCACGAGCAATGCATCATCAGCCAATGGATATGACAATGGCAACATCACCATTGGCAACTTCACCAACAACAATGGCAAGACCACCACTGCCAATACCACCACATAAGATGCAGCGCGACGTCGCATAGTAGCAAAAGGTTACTTGGAAACAATCCAAGACCTTGACAACATCTATGCGAGCACACCAATCTTTGGGATCCTACGTATCTTACTGACAATGGCACAGCACAATCACTGGACAATACAAGCGGGAGATGTGTCAACAGCATTCCTACATGCACCAGCAGCGACAGACAATCTTTACAACTTACATGTGGCCACCACCACAACTATACCCAAGTGGTCACAACACAACCACAGTGTGGAAGCTCAACAAAGCAATCTATGGACTACGATCAAGTCCAAAATCCTGGCAGGATCACTTTGCACAAGTCCTACAACAAATGGGACTGTCGACTGACAAGTGAACCCAACGTGTACAGGAACAATGAACAGACAATGTTTGTGATGGTCTATGTGGATGACCTACTATTCCTAGGACAACAACAGGAAGTCGACAAGACTTTCAAAGTAGTACAAAAGCATGTACTACTACGACCAACAGGCACATTGGGAATTCGTCAGACAATCCAATTCCTTGGCAGAGACATCCACAACAATGGAGACTTCTTTGAGGTAAGTCTCAAATCAGAATACATCACCACATTGCTGAAGGAAACAAAAATGGAAGCAAGCAATCCAGCATC